AGAGAGAGAGAGAGAGAGAGAGAGAGAGAGAGAGAGAGAGAGAGAGAGAGAGAGAGAGAGAGAGAGAGAGAGAGAGAGATGGGGTCTCTCTGCAGCTGAGGATGCTTAATGGGGGAGGGAATGGGACGTGTTGGGTGTAGAAGCAAAGGGAAAACTCACTTCTGTTCCAACGACAAAATCCTCCAAACAGATTGCACAGGAGGGGCATTCCGTTGGGATGGTTTTGAGCTCAAAACGTGGAAGCTGCTGGATCATACTTGCCACAAACTCCTGAAGGACAAAGAAGCCCAGCATGCAAATAGTACAGTCATCCTTGTCAGAATTCAGAAAACCCCTCTACGAAACACATCTCGCTGAAGGCAGAGAACATGGCAAGATTAAAGCATCCCTACAACATAAATCAGGACGTATCTCATACACCCTTTGGGGTACCCAAAAAAAATAATAAAAAAAAATAAAAAAAATCAGGACGTATCTCATACACCCTTTGGGCCGATGCAAAAGACGAGAACAGAAGTACCGCACGTTTAATCCCCAAATCCTCTCCTCTACAACAACATCCGCGGAGACACAAGATGGGAGATGGTGCCGGTTGGACGTAAGATGCCAACGGGACGAATGTTGAACAGTCGACATTCATGCAACGAACATAGATAATCTATTGGACTGATTTTCTTTAGAACAATCACTACACGTATACCTGACATCCATCCGGCGATCATCATGGTGGATCTAAACCGTAACCTGAATCGAGGACTCGACAGGATCTCGTAACCCCTGCAAAGAGGCCCCTCGACCCCCCACTACGGCCCCTCGACCCCCCACTAGTTCACTTCATCATCTAATGACAGAGTTCAACCTTCTCGATCCATTCAGAATGCTTGACCTAGAAAAAGGAATTCTCGCCAATGAAAAAGGACCATGCAATTCACAGCGTTCACACGGCCTCCTCCAGAATTGATTATTTTCTTTCTTAGTCTGATTCTCTACAAGGAATAATCGAAGAAGCGGGGACGTCCTCTCTCAGTCAGCATACCCCGGCCTTGACCATAAACCAATCAGCCTTTTAATCAACTTCTACAACCCAATAGATAGAAGGAAGGGGTTTTACCATTTACTTCAACAATTCACTCCGATCTATTCATGGGGAGCAGCACGTGCTGGGAACCTGGTTCTTGCCTTGTGTACATCATGACAACAAAATTCTTGCCTTGACACAAACCAACCTGAAGGGAGCTTCTTATTTAAAAAAAAAAAAACAAAAAAAAAACGAGAAAGTGAAATGGACCCGGTTCTTGCTGCTCACTATGTTGACAGGCATCAGTGGTTTCCTCGACAGTTCTTGAAGCTGATAAGATCAGTATCTGAGGAATCAAAGACCAGTAGCCAAATCTAGGACTAAGAGAAAGAACAAACTCTGGCTAACCGTACAGATAGCCACGAGTAGCCTAATAGCTGATCCATCCAACGAGTTCTATTACAACATACTTATCAACACGAAAGAAGAACTAGCGGATTGGCCTAGATGGGAATCAAGAGGTCTACAAATCTAGGCTAGAATGACAGATTTTACGCTAAACAATACCATTGTCTAAATGCGTCTTTGCCAATATTAAACCACCAGTACCTACCGCGTTTTTAGGCATTAACATGGAGGCTGAATCGGTGTGCCGCACGGGTCCATATGCATTTGCGTCAGAGGAGACCTAAGACCCCCTGGGCTACTGTTGGTTTAAATTTGACGCGAGGAAGAAGATGATAGGAGCCCTTCCGGACCTGCTACTCCCTGTGGTCACAACAAAGTAGGGACACATTATGCGGTGTATGTCTCCACACTTTTTATGCCACTGTTTACGGATTCCTATGAAACCAAAAACCCCTGCCCTACACAACCAATTGTCAAAGCTGCTAGACAAAAAATGTTGACGTACCTAAAGAAGACTGCAAACTTGTAAGCCCCTCTCACCCTCAACAAAACGGGAACTTGAAGAAGCCCTTGAAATGATCGACAATGATAGGGAAAGAAAGAAGGAAGAAGATAAAGCACCCGGAGTCACGATATGACAAAAGGTGCACTACTGCAAATAGAACTCGATGCGGGCGAGGCTATACTTTCGCAGCGAACGCATAAGAGTTCATGGCATGCGTACGGGTAGCCGAGACTAGCCTAATAGCTGATCCATCCAACGAGTTCTATTACAACATCCTTATCAACACGAGAGAAGAACTACGGATTGGCGCAGATGGGAATCAAGAGGTCTACAAACCACGCCTTGAGTGCGCGGATTTGCGCATGCCTTGAGCACCGCTCGCACCGCTCTGGAAAAATTCAGGTCCGGAAAAAAAGAAGGTAGGGGTTTCATAATTTCTTAGGGCCCCCAAGTCGGCAAAAATGTTCAACTCACCGCACGAGTTCGGAAATCGGCCGTGCCCCGGGCCCATTTTTTTGGGGGGGGGCCAAGGGCTGCCGAATTTCGAATTCGGCAGGCCCTTCCCCCAAAAGTTTCAAAATCTAGGTTACCAATGGTCCGGGCGCCGGTCGTCTCCCCCGGACGTCTCCCCCATACGTCCGGTACCCCCGTCGTCCGGGGAAAAAAGTTTTTTTTTTTCCATTTTTTTCGGTTTTCGATTTTTAACTCATGATTGACTGCGAATTTGAACATGACTCCAAGGCAAAAGTTGCTTGTATTGTTATGTTACATAACAATGATAACATTTTTTTTATTTATTTTTTTGCGTTAGGTCGGACAACCCCTGTCCGGTCGGACATCCGACCAGACGTCCGGTCGGACATCCCGGACGGTCAGGGGGGTCCCAGACGTCCGATCCAACAACCTAGTTCAAAATGGCAAATCATGAGAATATGGCTAATTCCATTTTTGGGTGTGGAAATTGGCCTTCCCCCTCTCATCTGCAAATCCCACACAAGTCACAAGTTGTGTTTTGCAAAGCCAGCCGACCACCGATATATGCTGAAGATTGGCATTCAGGTCTGTATGTCGGTAGTTATGGGTTAGGATGAAGATGCCTGTAGCTATCTCGTTTTTTTTGTTTTTGTTTTCTTATGAGTACGTATAGTGGCCCCCAAGGGGCCTCCCTCCACAACTCACCCACATGCAGAAAAGACATACCATATGGCGGTGTATAGTTCTATTTTTTTGCAGAATATTCATTCTACTAATGTTATATACATTTGGTGAGTGGTGGAGGGAGGCCCTGACACGAACAGGGTCTAGCTGAATTGGTGACCCATAACTGCCGAGCTACAACCCTGAACTCAAACCCACAGCATATACTGGTGGTGTGCTCCCACTTCTTCCACACATGATGCGGCCATCCTGCTCAGTCCTCAATGACTCGATATAGTAGGAGCCATGCGAGCTACCTGCAGGGTCCCTTGAGTTGACATGAAGGGGACCCTTTGCTCTCTCTCTCTCTCTCTCTCTCTCTCTCTCTCTCTCTCTCTCGGGGGCACGTATATATAAATATATATATCGTCACAAACAGAACTGCCCGGTAAAACCGTAGGCAGAGAGAGAGAAGAGGACAACAAACGAGGGGCTGTGACAAACTGTTTCGTCGGAGTTTCACCGACTCATCAGGAG